AGCACAATGTCCCATTGCTTCATGCCACCGTAGTTCAACTTCTGGAAGGTGTCACACGTGATTGGCCAAGTTCAACGATGAAGTAGTCAGGCTCTTGGTCTTTGGAGGGCGATCGTGTTTTGCAGTAAGGCTACCTAGTTTAATTAGGGAATCATGGAACAAAAAATCAGGAGGTACGAGTAAGGTAGGGCAGCCCTGACTAATTCAACAAATTCCAAGTTAAGAGTACCCGTAAGGTCAATGTTCTTATTCAACTAAGTAAATTATATCAGCCATCATAGGAAGACGGAGCGAGTACTATGAATACCTAGTCCAGCGAAATAAGGATGGTAGCAAAAAGTTCGAGATCTGCTCTGCGCGGCTGTCGAATTTGCCTTCTTCCTCTCTGAATAAGAGCGTCAAAGCCCTCTCACCAAAGCGCATGAAGATTGTCTAGCAACGGACTGTAGCAAAAAATAACAATCCTCATGTGTAATTCACTAAATATGCTTTATATTCTGCACCTTCGTAAGTCCTACGCCATGAATTCGACAGTGGGAAGATCCATATTAGGGTAAGACGGCCACTGCTGGACTACTTGTACGTGTTCTTGTAGAAGAGCGATTTCTGTGGAAATATGTATTATTATTACGTAATTTCCTATCAGGCTTTCATTTTCAGCAGAATGAGCGACCGGCTCGGCGCCGCATTGACATTCCTCTTGGTGTCGCTCTTGGTGAACTCTGGTAAGCAGTTTTAGCTGTTTATAGCTTTATCGATGACTTTATCCCAGAAGTTAGTTTTTGAATAAGACCAGAAACATCATGACATCTTTACTGCTCGGCAGTATAATTCGAGAATGATCATAGAGAATTTGATCTGTCAGCTTACCGCTTTTCGAGTCTACATGCTTGATATCCATTGAAAGGAAATACTGCAGGCTGCACTTATCGTACAGTGAGGCTCTCGAAATAAACTTTCTAAAATTCGGTCGGCCTAATGTCTCGAAAGCATCCAATTCTGGGAAGACTTATGCAGAGCGTGTTCTATGAAAGGTGAAGTTCTCCCTGAATAAACTACCTAAGGTAAGGGAGTTTATTCAGGGCATGAAGCGCTTTCTGAGAGTGTTTCTCCGCAAATTCAAAGATTGCAAATGTTAGCTTGTTGTGGGTCTCATGTAGCATCTATCAGTGACATGAAGTAGTTTCATATACGAAGTCTGATTTTGCTCACAAAAAAGTGTAAACATGGTGACATAGAAGGAATTCTTCACCTTCCGCGCAAATCAGATAAGATTCACAACTTCTAAGGGGAAAAGAGGTGACGGAAGTATTATGCATGATACTCATCAAATTTCATTGAGAAGAATCAAGCCGTCTCCCCTTGTTCTGACTACATTCGAGAAATAAAGGCCATCGTTGCCGACGAGCTCAAGGTGCCTACCGTAAATGCCTCAATGAATCATCTACTAAATTTGTAGATTAATTCACTCATGAACAAGTTCTTAGGGATTGTGGCTCTGTGTGGCTCTTCAAAAAGCAAGAAATGTGTGTCGGGTGCAGACCAAACACCACAACTGACGACGGCCTCCAAGTAAATCTGGTTAGAAGTTGTTCATAGTGATAGCTGATTTCTGGTAAATGATAGTTGTAATTAGTGACAATCGATAGAATACAACTGCAACAGGCTAATCATTTCATTGGCAGAAAACATTAACATTTTTGTGAAAGGCCGTCGTCACTTGTGGTGCATGGTCTGCACCCGACACTTTCTCGCTTTTTGAAGGGGAGGGTACCATGCTTTGTATGATGGGATGGTTCAGCGGTCGAATGACTTCTATGCCGGTGAAAGCAACGCCTCAATGTTGCTGGGCCTTGCGCTGTGAGTTTCGTGACATATGCGTTCCATTGTTTCTCATCAGCCCCTATCAGCTTTATCACTTTCTGGTCCACACCAAATACAGTAGCGGTCAAAAGTTTGGAAACTTTTTTATTTTTGATCTAGCGTAGCCAATAGACAATGAAATTGTCCCGAATTCACATATTATATACAGAATCAAGTGTAGATTACGATGAGCAACATAATTTTTTGAAAACGAGAATCGCATTTGAAAAATACGAATTTTTATAAGAAATGGCGCGTCAAAAGTTTGGAAACTTCTCAATTCCAAAGCGAATTCGGCAAAATAGCTCTCGAATCCACATGATAAATTAGTTATTCGATGAGTAGCTGTGAATTTCTATGTCAGCGTCGTTTTTATTGACATGGAGTTGATTATAAAATAATTTTAGGACTTTTAAGTCGAACCCTACACACTGTGAACTAAATCACATTGTTTGGTGGGATTCTTAACTGGAATGTGGGTTGAGCGACATGCCAGTTCTTCCGTGGGATGTAGAACTCAATTAGACTTTAGATCTTGACTTGGTCGCTTCATAACAGCTTCTTTTTCTGGGTTTAGGAAGGCGGCAGTGAGGAGGTAGGCCTGCATTGGGTCATTTCCCCGATAGAAAACCCATCTTTTCCGGCTAGTTCTGACTATCGAAGGAAGCATTGTATTCTACAGACTATTCTTGTACTTAGCCCAACCCACATTTCGCTGGATACATAGAACTGGGGAATCGCCGAATGGTCGGACACATCTTCATCCATGACAATACTTCCACTATTTCTGACTGTTGGAATCTATACTCAAAATGAGGTTCCCATTTGACAAAACACTTCACAGGTCCACAACATCATTTTAGGAAGACAGAAATCCCATTCGTCGCTGAGGACAAAGTTTTACCTCTCGCCTTCGGTCCATGTTAGCCGTTAGTGTGCGGAAGCCAGTTGGGCCATCCTGCTCTTGAAGCCCAACAATGGCTTCTTGTTGGGACATCATCCGTAATATTCACCAGGTCGCGGCCGATGTTGGCTGCACTTGGACTTTCATATGATTAGGAAAAACCAGAAAAAGTCGTCTCTTAGTTGGGGATGTCGGGGGTACGGGACGTGCCAACCACCCTTCGAAGTATTTGAGGAGGGCCAATTTTCTTGTGAGGATACTTTTTTGTGAATGATCATTCTTCTTATGCTTACTCGACTCCAATAACGCTAGAAACATTCGATAATATTGCTTCCGTAGAGTGAACTACTAAGAAAAACATTTCAATTTCGCTTTCTTAGCATATGAATTCATTTTGAAATTACACATTACTCAATGGTTGAACTAAAATTAACAGAAACAAGTGAACATTGAAGAGTAGGAATCATAATGATGAGGGAAACAAAAAGTTTCCAAACTTTTGACGCGCCATTACTTGAAAAAAATCTTATTTCTCAAATATGATTATAGATTTTTGGAAATTATTCTTCCCGTCGTATTCTGAACTCGATTTTGTATGTAATATCTAAATTTGGGACAATTTCGTTATGTATCGGCCGCGCTAGATCAAAAATAAAAAAGTTTCCAAACTTTTGACCGCTACTGTATGTTCCCGTCCCACCCCCTGTATCATATCTGCAAAGCAACGCCTCAATGCTGCTGGGCCTTGCGCTGTGAATTTCGTGACACTTGCGTTCCAACGCTTCTTATCAGCCCCTATCAGCTGTTATCACTTTCTGGTCCCCATCAAATATGTTCCCGTCCCACCCCTATATCATATCTTGAAATCAACTCCTGACGACCAGCTGGTATGCGCGCTATGAATTTCCGGTCAAGCATACACACACATCAAAAGACACACTATCCGATTACACATAGTAAGATTGGTGGGTGGGGTACACAGCGAGGAGGGCAAAGTTTGCCAGAAATCGCTACAAAACTATCGATGGTCTACCTCTACACCACTGCACTCCCGTGCGATGCCGCGAATGCGTGCCACAGCCACACTGGTGTATAAATATGTTCATGACTTTAGTGAAGGGAATGGCACTTTCTGAGTAATGGATTCCTATCACTCATTTCAAACAGTCCCGCATAGGAACCTCTCGTTGTCTCGCAAATTCATATGCCTATAGAGGAGAGCCGGAACTAAAGCGCATGACATTGTTCGAACTCTTGTAGGCTCTTGTACGTTCTCCGAATCCAGGTGAACGGACGCGATGATGACATTTTTCGAGCACTTTGTCAGCAAGCTCTAGTTACCTAGCTCGTAGTACTGCAAGAGTAAACTAGGACCCTGAGTTCGTTTTTTTCGCGAAATGCTCACTTACATGGAATTCGAAGAACGCGCGCAACAGCCTAAGGAGAAGCATCCTTAGGCGTGACACCTTCGTTGTCGGTATTCTTTGTATGCGTTCGTAAACGTACCCGAAGCAGCAGAGCCAAGACTTGGGAATAATTCTGTAGCGATGGTGAAGCGATAAAACGATCCATCAGGATTCACTGGGAGCAGGATATTTTCTTGGTGCTCTTCGACCAACAATGAGGAAAACTATTGATTCTCTGCATTCCACCGGCCTGTATACATGACCGCACCAAGAAAAGTGAAAAACGAATACCGAAAATTTGTCATACACGGTGTCGAATCCACAACATTCCTCTCATTCGTCCAAAATTCTTACGTTTTAGAGAACTTCCAGCCAAAAACTAATAATATTTGAATGGTGAACGCTGGTCTCTATTACATGCATAAATTATTTTGTCATCAGAAGCGTTTCACGTCCTGGACATACTAGTATCCAACACACAGCATTTCCGCGCGTTTGGAAAGCTGTGAGGTAGCTTACTCTCAGCATCAATTTGGTGTGTGTATCACTTTTATCGATGTCGCGATCGAATATATGTTTTTCTTGCTTATACTGTATAACAATCTCGCCGGATGACTAGCCTTCCTTCGAATGTATCAATATCGTGGTTCGATCATAATGTTTCTCTTGGATATACTGTATAACAATCCGCGGATGACTAGCCTTCCTTAGAATGAAAAAAGCCGGGAAAAAATGCTCATAGATCGTTTCAGCAGTCCTGAGAAATGAGTTTTTTCAGTTACGTCTACACTCTTGAAGGCAATCAGTGCAGAAAGTGGTTGCATGGTGGTTGCAGAGGTAACGGAAACAACTTTCCAACCAGGAAGGAATGCGAAGATAAGTGCCTCAAACACCAGCCTCCACCGGTACTGCTGCTGGTGTATCTGGCAAATCGGTAATAATGGGCCATAATGGACCAGCTCGTTGACAGCTGTGATATGCATACGTTTGAAATTGTTTTCCATTGAAAGTCACTAGAAACGAAGATGAATAAAAGTTTAAGAACGATTCAACAAACACCAATTTGTTCCAAAATGTACATTTACATGTAGCAGGTTTTTAAAGAGCTGAAACAGTAGCAGCTACCGCTGATACCACATTTGTGTAGGTTTATCCGTTGATCAAACCCAATTTAAAGGCGAAGTTCTCGATGATGCAGCCCATTGGAGATGAAGGAAGACCTGGTTAGTGGTGCAGGGATGAAGAAAAAAGAAAGCGCTCAGCACCCAAGAACCCCTTTTTCCCCTTTTTGCTCACTGATTTCCGCATTGGTGCGCAGTCAGAGTAAGACGGCGAGAGGGTGCAGCAGAGCTACGGTTAGGATAGGAGGCAGTATACACTGCGGAACGTGCACTGTCGCGCACCATTAGGGAATCTCACCTGCCTTACGACTGGGTATATTCCCCATTCTTCGACCTTCTATGTACCTTATCGTGGAACCCTTTCAATCTTGAAGCACGACTTTCTGAAAGGAAAGTCAGAAGTGTTCTGTGTGGCAGCCATTCCTGGCAACAAGCAATCATTTTTAGAGATTCATCTGACTCTCAACGAATTTCGCCTAGAATTTGATCCGCGAATAATCTCTTTCAAGTGGGTCTGTCAACAGGGGGAGGGTCCAAATCGCGTAATGGCCAGTCAAGTTTCCAAAGCTGTTCACTCGTTTCCAGGCGTAAGAGAGCGATCCGCCTTGTCACCACCCCATCCCTCACGAATCATTGATTTTCATGCATATATCACCACTTTAACTCACTTTAAATTTCAAAGATATTGTTTGGAATGGTACAAGCAAATGTGAAACAAAGTGTCCGGTCAAGATCACTTAGAATGAATTCTGTACCAGTGAGAGTCTTTTGGGTTCAAACAGCAGCACCTGTTCTGCCAAATCTTCGTTGACATCATACTAAAGAGAACTGTCCT